CTGTAAACCGCTTAGAGAGGGCTGAAAGCCCTATGAAGCGGTATATAAGTCTAACTGCTATTGCTAAGACAAAGATGGGGGGGGGGCTAAAATGTAGGAACGGAAGGAAAATCTGGGGGGGATTTTACCCAACCCCACTTTTTCAAGTTTTAAGAGATGTTCAACATCAAGAGGAAGGGGGAGAGGGAGGGAAGGGAAAGAGGAGGAGAGAGGGAGGGAGGAAGGGGAGGAATGGAAGCCCTATGAAGCGGTATATAAGTCTAACTGCTATTGCTATAGGATCAGGAAAAGTCCCCCGCCCACCCCCAGGCCTCCTCCGGGGACCTACCTGTAACTGCGTCTCGTTGGCCGCGTTTTCCTGCCGGTTGGCGAGGTCCCCCTGGGAGGAGGACACCGAGCCAGAGAGGGAAACGTGCTGGGTGGAAAGGCTGGAGGCCTGCGACCGCGCGGAGTACAGGCTGCTAGTGTCCGTCTCCTCCTCGGAGGCCAAGCCGTGATGGCGGAGGATGAGGTCCACCAAGTCCTCCTTTTCCCGGCAGGTGTCCGTGGGGATGTTCCGGAGGAGCAGGTACTGGCGCAGGTCCTTGACTTTCAAGCGCATCAGCTGCGGCCGCTGGAAGGCCGCCTCCTGCAGCAGCTGGCAGGTGCAGCAACGGCGCAGGTTGTCTTGCAAGACGGAGCAGACCGAGCAGAAGTCCTTCTTGCACTCGCAACACGTGTGCTGGAGGGAGAGGGCGGAGGGGAGACGGGGGAGTTACACGCCTCGCGGGGCAGGGAGGAAGCGTTGACACAGGTCGTCCTCGACTTACGGCTGCCGTTCAGCCCAATGTTTCTGTTACTAAGTGAGTTCTGCGCCTTTTTTGGGGGGGCCACTGCTGTTAAGGGAATCACTCTGGTTGTTAAGTGAATCTGTTCAGTGAATCTTTTACACGGTTGTTAAGTGAACCTGGCTTCCCCCTCGACTGGTTGTCAGACGCCGGGGCACTGCAACGGTCATAAATACGAATCAGTTGCCAAGCGTCTGAATTTTGATCATGGTGTCCCTTTTTTTCAGTGCTCTTGTCACTAAATGAACTTTTGTAAGTCGAGGATTCCCTGTCCTTATTGTATTTACAAAAAACGATGAGGAATCGGAAAGGCTTGCAGCCCCCTCAACCGGTTCTCAGGATTCTTAAATCCAGCCATTTCCTCTCCCCCCCCCCCTTAATCCTGGGCACTTTTCACCGGCATTCAAGCATCTCTGGTGGATGACCAGCGGCCAGGAGGTTTCGGCCCCAGGTTGGACCCCAAAGACGGGCCTCCTCCCCAAGCCACGGCAGCTTTCTAACGTCCCGCTCTCCATTCTTTGCCTTAAAACGCTCACCTTTTTCCTGAAGACGGAGAAGGAAAGGCCACAAGATTTGCAGAGCGCGCCGTTTGCTCCCGCTGCCGCCGCCGAGGAATAGACGGTGAAGTCCGTGCTTGGGGCGAACCGAAAGGGGTTTGCTCCGCTTCCGAATCCGGGCTGCTGGCTGCGAACCGCTCCCGTCCCCATGACCTCATTCAGCAACCCACAGCAGGAAGCCCACATGGAGGTCGCCCCTGCCTGGAAGAGACCAGTAGAAGCCGAGTCAGCCTCTGAAGTCGGGACAGCCTTCCCAGGTTGAAGCAGCACGCAAAGACACACACACATACACACTCTCTCTCACGCACATGCACACACATCTGTCTTCGGGATGTCCTGCCGGTTGCCTTGCCAGCGTGAGAGTCGATCTCTTAACGCCCGAACCAGCGGAGAAGGAAGACCCACAACGGCACCCAATAAAGACATCCAGATTCCTCCCATCAACCAGAGAAGTTGCAGGATGCTCCCCTTTTCCACTAGGAACTTCGGAAGAGTTACTCGGTTCTCCGGTTATGCCGATGGCTGCAGACGGTGAGCAAGCCGTTTCCAGGTCTAGGTTAAGGGGTGACAATGACAACAAAACACGCAATTTTCCCCATGACGGGGAAGGGCATCTGCAGTGCGTGCAGCTCTCCTGTTTCCGGAACCTGTACCTTTTTTCCGTTAAGGGAGCGCCGTCTTTCCCACCTCAATCCTCTGAGCCGCCAGGACCTCTGCTGCGCCTGCCATGTTCTTTTCCGTTCTGCCCCAAAGCATTTAGCCAAAGTTGGAAAAAAAACTCCGAGGAGATTCGGAGCAAGCGACCGGCACCACGGTTCCAATATTCCCCATCCAAGCAGGCCGGCTGAGTTTCCTGGGAAGATTTTTTTTCAGAAAGGGAGGGTGGGAATCTTCCAAAAACTACCAAAGTCTCGGGATTTACCCCGAGGGAAAAGCGAAAAACGAGCCAGCAGGAGAGGAACGGTAGACTTAACGGTCCGAGGAGGCAGGTGCCATCTGTTTCAGGGATCAGCCTGATGGATAATCAATCCAGCTTTAGATAATTGTTGATGCCGAAAGAGGCTAAAATCCCCATAACTAGGATTGCAGTTCACATGCCTTGCCTTGGCTTCCTTGTTTCCTTATTTTCTTTTTAAGCTCGGGTTTTTTTTACTCCTTTTCGTACTCTTCATCTTACGCATTTTTATTCTGCTTGTCATATTGCCAGCTGCCCAGAGTTCTTCTGGACTCGAATCGAGTACAGAAATCAACAAACTATAAGGTCACCCGAGGAGTCTGCGGAGAAACACATCTTTCTCACAGTACTTTTGAGATGATGTTGACTTTCAGGGCGTTGAATCAAAAATGTACACTAACGCTGACATTTCATCACGCTGTTTCTCTGGAGAAGACAACAGAGCAACTAAAACAAGAAGCATCGTTTAATGGAGGAAAAGAAAAACTTGGCCCCCGATTCTCCTGAAAGACATTTGAAATGTACCCCTCCAACAAAAATCCTTACGCCCTGAACGCATCGGTGTAAGAACTGCAACAAGAGTGCAAACTAGCTAGGATTAGAATCTCCTTGCCTGCTGACAATCCCATCTTATAATTCCTGCCCCAAACTAACCCTACATATCTTTCGGCTGTTGTCCAGTACGGGCTCTTTTTATACGGCAAAACCTCAAGGGAACGCCAAGTACAGAAACGCCAAGAACGTGGCATGGTGCCAGTTTGACACAGCATTTATGCCCAGAGAAGCTGTCACAAGTGGCCAAAAAAAAAAAAAAAGGCTCTCCCCCCTTCAAAGTGGGTCCAACATTTCCCACCGTGGAAATGTTGGAATCAAGCCAGAACTTTGGTGGAAGAGATTTTCCAGCTTGTTTATTTTTCCTTTTTCATCACATGCGTCCCTCGAGCATTCTGAACAAGAGAAATCGCTGTCGTCAGGGTGACTAGGGAAGCATTTTGGGGAAATTTAAGAATTCTGCCCTTCTCATTTACTCCCCAAAGTCCTTCTCTCCTTCCTGCTTTTAGCTGGTTTCATTTTCTCTCTTCAGCTCACATTTCTCTCCCAGCTACTCCTGAACCTGATCCCCCCCCCTAAAAAACATTCCTCTGATCCGTTTCAGTTCTGTTGCTCCCAAACTCCCTGGGACAGCCTCTGTCTCTTTCAAGGATACTTACTTAACAATCCTACTTTCAGACTTAAGATCGCAAGGGATTACCCAAGGAGATTCAATAGGCAAATCTAGAATCGATCCATAACCGTGTATTATTTAAAAACCTAAAATTACATGAAGACAGCATAAAGGAAGTCTCCAGCTAATCTCTATGGCCCAGAAGAATTTTTTTTTAAAAAACGATCTGTTTACAAAGAGAGACTAGGAAGAAATCTCTGTGGAACCAATTCCGTTGTATTTAAGTACAATGACAATAAAGGTTATGCTTATAGAATTCCAAGCGAATCCTATTCTTTAGATCTGGGGCTACAGCAGAGAAGTCCCCATTGCTTGTAACTAAGAATTCAAGATCTCTGATTAGCAAGCAGGATCCATCTCAGCTGCTTCTCCTTTTTCCTTGCAGGGAGTGACCGCGGGGAGGAGGAAATCACATCTAGAAACATTTTTGTTCTCATTACAGAATCCTACCCTGTGTTACTCTTAGTCATACTCCATAAACTTAACCTTTTGTGACTACCGAAGTGCCATCTGCGGTTTATTCTTTGGCGTTCAGCAGGATTTATTCTCATGCAAATGGCAGGATTGCAGCGAAAGATCCACTTAATCAGAGGAAGAGTCCTTGTACACGTAATTTATAGGTATATACGTCTCACATAAAAATGCAAAGCTAACCAGTCAAATTTCACGGACCTTTCATTTAAAACCCTGCACTTAAGCAGGGAGTTGGGGTTGATCTCCTTTCTCATTCCGATTTTCCTGCTATTAGTTAGGCAAATGTTCTCCCTTCTACATTCTGGCTGATTACTAATCACCCGACAGTAAAGAAAGAAGAAATTGTAATGGGGCACATCGCGCTGGTTCATGATATTTTCGGATAGTTGTTATTTCCAAGAAACTGCACCCCCAGGGCTGGCCTTTGTCATCTTTGTCCAAGGTGGCGCAGTGGTTAGAGTGCAGTACTGCAGCCACTTCAGCTGCACTTCAGCGGTTCAAATCTCACCGGCTCAAGGTTGACTCAGCCTTCCATCCTTCTGAAGTGGGTGAAATGAGGACCCGGATTGTTGGGGGCGATATGCTGACTCTGTAAACCGCTTAGAGAGGGCTGAAAGCCCTATGAAGCGGTATATAAGTCTAACTGCTATTGCTATTGCTATCTTAGACATAATAAACAAATGGCATTCCTGCACATTTCCCTCCAAGTAAGCCCCCCGTGAAAGCCAGGAGCCTTGGAGAGGAAATAGCACCCCAGTTGCTACTAAGCAAGCCCCATCTCTGAAAACACAGAGTCTTCTGGAAGGAACCCAAGACAAAATTCTTGGAATATCTGATCGCAGAAAATAAGAACCTAATTTTTTGGAGTGCCTTTTAGCTTTTCTGCTAAGGATGGGGAGAAGAAGATCATTAGACAAAAATGTATCGTGTCCCAACTAGTGAACACGTGAACAGGGTATGACGCCTGATTTTTTATATTTCACTCCACACACACCCCCCCCCCGCTGTCCAATGGTGTTATACAAGGGTGTGCAAATTCAGACACGGTCCCGTTCTGAAGTTTTGCAGGTGGTCCCAGCACTTGAGAATGCTCTTCCTCACCTCTGGCACTTTTTACAACCTCTTTTAACATCTCTCCAACGGCTTTTATTTTCCCCCTTTTAAATCAATGCTCTTTTTTTGTTCCTCGCATGCGCGGCGTGTCGCTTCCATTAGCACGGCTCCTCGCACTGTGCCCCGAGGCCGGTCCTGATGTCAAGCGGGGTCTCTGTGCAACTGTGTTGTGCGTTTGCTACGCCACCACCAACACACACTCCTTTCCCAAGACCGATCCAGCGGATAAACTCGACGAGGGCTGTTGAATTGCTGTCGTTCAGAAATAACTTCCTCCAGCCGGTGCCCCAAAACCCAATACCAGGGCTGGAGAGTTGCTGCAGCTGAGCCAGCTCAAGGTCCAGAAGTAATAAAACATTTCATCATCATCATCATCATCATCATCATCATTATCCAGAAAGTGATGGGAACATAAAGTGGAAAAAGTTATCGAAAATGAGAAGGTGAAGATCTTGTGGGACCTTCAAATAAAGACGGATCATCATTTGGAACACAACACGCCAGACATCACAGTTGTTGAAAACCGAAACATACAATTTATTGACATCGCTGTACCAGGAGATGCCAGAGTCAAAGAAAAAAAATGGGGGGGGGGGAATCACAAAGTACCGCGACTGGCCATCGAAACCACGCGATTATGGATGAAGCATGTAACAGTGACGCCCATTGTCATTGGAGCACTTGGTACCAGGTCCAAGAATTTTATAAAACACATCAAGAAATTGCAGCTTCCTGCAATAACCCACAGCGGAACTGCAAAAAACTGCGCTACTCAGAACATCATATATTTTAAGAAGGTCCTTGGTTGATACCTAGGATGCTGGCAGCAACCCATGTCAACCATTAACACCAGTCAGTGGTATTCGTGACACATCTTTAATTGTACAGTTGACTGAATTTCATGTTTAATGAATAAAAGATGATGATAATAATAATTAGTTGATACCTAGGACGCTGGCAGCAACCAACCATTAGCACCAGTCAGTGGTATTTGTGACACATCTTTTAAATGTTCACTTAACTGAGTTTCATGTTAAATGAATAAGAGATAATGATAATAATAACAATAACAGCAACAATTATCTGCATAATAATAATAATAATAATAATAATAATAATAATAATAATAATAATAATGTACTTGGTTGATACCTAGGACGC